TACACATCCGCTAGTACCATAATAATAACCAATATATATTAGTAAATTAAATTTAATTGCCATCTATCGTTAAAATTTTACACATATAAATTTACTGGCAATGCGCTTCTTTTAAATATCATCAATATTAGAATATTAGATTATATTATATTATTAGATAATAAAAGGCATATATTGGATTTGAAAAAATATTTATTTTGCCAATATTTCGGCTGGCTGAACGCCAACCTTTATCGAGGCATTACATTTTTGTATACACAAACTCAGCGCCGCATAGTGTTATAATATCACAGTTGAAATCAATTAAAATACAGAGTAGGTGGGAGAAATTTGTGCATGAAAAAATTATTATAAAAAATAAAAAATGCAACTAAAAATGTAAAATATCTTTAAAAATAAAAGGAAAAAAAGTTCTATCTTATATTTAAAAAAAAAAAAAACCCACATTTTTAAAACTTTTTATAAGGTTCTTACAGTTTATTGTTTAAATCATTTTAAATTTATTTTCAAATGTTTTAATAGATACATACATTTTTTACATTTATCTCTTTATGAGTTATTAATGAATTATTTTTATGTACTTTTATTACAATTTTTTTTTAAATATAAGATAGAACTTTTTTTCCTTTTATTTTTAAAGATATTTTACATTTTTAGTTGCATTTTTTATTTTTTATAATAATTTTTTCATGCACAAATTTCTCCCACCTACTCTGTATTTTAATTGATTTCAACTGTGATATTATAACACTATGCGGCGCTGAGTTTGTGTATACAAAAATGTAATGCCTCGATAAAGGTTGGCGTTCAGCCAGCCGAAATATTGGCAAAATAAATATTTTTTCAAATCCAATATATGCCTTTTATTATCTAATGAATTAAGTATGGATTGCTCTATTTTCAAAAATATTATATTATATTAGAACAATTAAATATATAGAAAAATGTATCTATAAATTGACCTTTACATACATTTCTATTTAAAAAACACGCCTGTGTATCTTCATATGATCACGTTCTTTATTGTCATAACCTAATTAAATCAACAACACACACATTCACAAATACGATATATTTTTTAAATATTAAATCAATCAGCTTTGCATCCAACAATCCTCCCTTTAATCAAAGCTAAGAAATATAAATATCGTAAGGTGGAATCCTCTGGTGTATAATTAGCAGCAACACTTAAAATTCCGAGGATAAGTTTCTTTTATTTCAAAAATAATATCTTGAGCTTTCGGGCGTAAACAGCCCTTCTTCAGGAATATTGGAATTTTCTACTTGAAATTGTTTCCAATATTCCTGAAGAAGGGCTGTTTACGCCCGAAAGCTCAAGATATTATTTTTGAAATAAAAGAAACTTATCCTCGGAATTTTATGTGTTGCTGCTAGAAATATAAATATGTTACTCTCTTTGTGAAAAATAAATCAATTTAAAATTGAAGCCATTATGGTATTGAAAATTAGGGTTCGGTGGAAGGATGGTCTAAACCAGCCCTGGCCAACCTAAATGACGCCACGGGCCGCACGGAATCGTAAACAAGGTCTAAAAACTTTAACTATATCAAAATTTTAACTTTAAAATGTTAAAAAATATACTTAATACTTCCTTGATGCTTAATGTTTTTATTTATTATTTTTCGGCTGCTTTTTATAAATAAAAATAATAATAACAATTTAAAATAAAAAATATTTCTCTATTAATTACCATTATTCCTAACTTTTTCTTCCTTTTTATGGAATCAAATATGTATTTTAAAAATTGTGGAACATATTTTAAATAAAAAATTATTATAATTATTTCAATATATTTTCTGTTTTTGAATATACAGACGAGAAATGAAAGTTACAAAATAAATATAAAGTTAAATGGCGAGCCGCAAAATTTTTTACGGCGGGCCGCGGGTTGGCCAGGCCTGGTCTAAACTGTTGGTTTTACCTTAAAATTTTAGGTAATAATTAAAAAAAAAAAAGAAATATATATATATATGTTATTAATATTTGTTTTGTTAATGAAAAAAGATCAATTTAAGGTGCAGTCGTGAAAAATAGGAAATAATTTTTTTACCTTTTTTTTTTTTCAAATAGTTTTTATTTTCAATTACTTGAAATGAATTACACATTAATTATTTTTCACAGTAATATAGAATTTTAAAAATGAATCCTATATTCGTGAATTTTAAAAAAAGGTAGGTTAACTTTACATATTTACAACAATATATTTTAAGTGTTATGTTCTAAATCTATGGTCAAAAAAAATATAGAACAGTCAATGAATGAAAATATATGTTTTAAAAAATAAAATAATTGTATTTTAGATTATTTAATATATATATATATATATTTAATGATGCATTTGCGCGCCATCTGTTATGAAATTCTAAATTATTATAGACACGTATGATTCTTTTACTGCCCTTACTGCAATGGAAATTGTTTAATTTTTAAAAGAATCATACGCGTCTATAATAGTTTCGAATTTTCTTATATATACAAATAATTTTTTTGAGAATTATTATGTTTTGGGGCTAGATAACCTTGAAAAAGTAACAAAAAATACTTACCGGCTAACCCGCGGTGTTCTAATACATCCATCGTCTGCTGATGGCAACTTACTCTTTTTAAATTTTTGCGCCCTCTATCGGGCCAAACATGTGCGCCTCTTATTAACTCTGTTTAAAAATATAAAATTTTATGTAAAAAAATGCTTAATTCTAAGGTTTGATATTTGAAAATATAAATATATATACAGTTAAACCTGTCTATAGCGCCCCCTCTAAATAGCGCCTCCCTCTTTATAGCGTCAGATTTTAAATACGTAGTATATATATATATACGATGCGATTTACATCAAAAGTGACCTGTCTATTGCACCCCCTCTCTATAGCACCCAATTTTGGTGAGTCCCAAGAGGGGGCGCTATAGACAGATTTAACTGTATATTAAAATAAAAAAATACATATCCTGACCATGTTCACATGAACTTTTTCGATGGCTGAGCGCCATCTAGTGGAACAGAAATCAACTAAACGTTAATTTAGCCTATTCCGTGATATTTGGTTAACCCATTTTCTTGATAAATCAGGAAAAGCCAACAACGAACGCATTTCGGGCTGTTGGCCCTCGTCAACGTGGTGGGGGATGTACCTCTACGACAAAATATTTGGTCTCTATGCTTCTATGACTGAGAATAGTACAAAAGGTCCCTGGATTTGATGGCCATGGACAGTTCTCTCTGAGGTCAACATGCCATTTGTTCCCAGGGTGGACTTCAGATTTTCTCTTTCCTCTCTGATCTACTCCTCACAGGTTTTTGCTCCTGTGTGCATTCTTACCACTATCAGGGATGATATGTTGTTCAACGGCTGGTCGTAAAACTCAATAATGACTTGTGAAAGTTCCCAGGGAGGAAATGATATAATCTCAACAAACTGGACCTCTTTGAAACTTACTTTGACAAGAGAGATTACATGATTGCTGGTATGTTGAATGATAAGGCACAATTTGGATTATAAACACAAGGTAATAAGACCAAATCCAAATAAATAAACAACGCTGTTACCTGAAACGTCACACACTATTTATTTATTTGTATTTGGTCTTATTACCTTCTGGTATGTTGAAGTTGAGCTATATTATCTATATATTTTGAGGCTGTTACACTATTTCTAATTATGGTACGTATGAAAATCTAGTGTATATTGTGACATGTATTAATTACTACATATGTATATATATAAAATGAAAGGATTTAAAAGCACGAATGTTTCTTTTATACATAATACAAACTTCTACTGTCCTTACTGCGATTCATCGCAGTAAAAGCAGTAGAAGTTTGTATTATGTATAAGAGAAACATTCGTGCTTTTAAATCCTTTCATTTTATATGTATAGATGGCGCGTTATTGCTTTGTGTTAATTTATGCCTAACTGGCCTTGTCTTTATTGTTTGCGGAAGAGCATTGCTCGATGCAAATATTTGAATGTAATTCTACTGTCCTATAAGCTTATGTCCATAGTTTTCTTGAAAACCATTTCTGAGATTCCACCCTTCAGTGCTGCGTATATAAGCAGAATCGTCCAATACAGTATTAGAGCTCTGAGAAGTGGTCTGGTGCATTAAATTGGAGAAACCGCTGGGAGGGTTCACCACTGTTGAGCCAAGCCCTCCCAATATATTTTTTTCATCGCAGTAAGGGCAGTAGAAGTTTGTATTATGTATAAAAGAAACATTCGTGCTTTTAAAGCTTTTCATTTTATATGTATAGATGGCGCGTTATTGATTTGTGTTAATATATATATATATGTCACAATATATACTCTTCCAGGAATAATAAAGCCAACCTACAGACAACCCAGAAAGAGACGGGATGTAAAGTCCGATCACTTGAGACAGCAGCGACATTCCAAGGGGCGGCAACTGGGGCCTGTTCGTCAACACCTTGGGACTTTTAAGACAGTAGGGGATTGTGTGCGACACGAACGGCCGCCCGTCTCTCTCTCTGGTTGTCTGGGATTCCTCTTCCAAACTTGTGGTGTCTTTATTTCTCTTTCCCCACCTTATTATATTGTCACATAAATACATATATGGTAAGTTTGCCAAGAGGATATTCAACAAAGGTCATTTCTCACATTTAAAATAGATGGCAAATCTATCTATTGACCATAGCTTCACAAATCTTACTATTACAACATCACTTAAGACCAAGGTTTGTTGTAATGACCAAGCTGTTGTTATAACGAGATTCCATTGTCATATAATTTTTTTTTTTTTTGCTTATCCCTAGTACACGTGGTACAGGCCATGATAATCATGGTGGGTAGTTAGCGACTGCTTTTTACTGTAAGCGCACCACATGTCTACACATGTGAAAAGCAGTTCGACTTTGCACTTACAAATGCCAGAGCCCCGTTTGGTTACTTGCACTCGCTGGTGGGGTTGGACTTTTGCAAGAATCGGGGGCCATTGGAGCATTTTTTTTTTAAACAGAAAAAAGTGTCCAATGCGGGAATCGAACCCGGGTCCTAGTGGTCGAAAACCAAACGGTTTAACCAGCCTTCCACCGACCCCCCGTCATATAATTGAGCTAACATGAAACACAACAAACATGTCTAACCATGTAGTTACTTTCTAACAAATATCCTCACTGTACCATGTTGTTGTTGATTATTCCTCAAGTTGTTTAAACAACCTCCATTAGGTTCCATTGTCTCAGCTTTTCTATTATAGTCCTGGGGGGGTCGGTGGAAGGCTGGTTAAACCGTTTGGTTTTCGACCACTACGACCCGGGTTCGATTCCCGCATTGGACACTTTTTTTATGTAAAAAAAAATGCTTCAATGGCCTTCAATTCTTGCAAAAGTCCAACCCCACCAGCGAGTGCAAGTAACCAAACGGGGCTCTGGCACATTTGTAAGTGCAAAGTCGAACTGCTTTTCACATGTGTAGACATGTGGTGCGCTTACAGTAAAAGCAGTCGTTAACTACCCACCATGATTATCATGGCCTGTACCACGTGTACTAGGGATAAGCAAAAAAAAAAATTATAGTCCTGGAGTAATGGAGAAGGAAAGAGGGGTGCTGTTGGTCTGAAGACCTGGAAGTACCACTGAGTGTGACTTTGCTTCTTTTGGTCTCCTGACATGGAGCCGCTCCTATGGAGAACAGACAATTGATAGATTAGCCGGGTGTGTAGCACAGCCTTCATACCTAGGGTGGCCCTACCAGGAGTTAAACTGTCCTGTGCTACATCCTCCTGCCACTTTGAGGCTGTAGGAGTTACCATTATATTACTACTAGCCGAATGACCCAGGCAACGCCCGTGTTTTACCCGATTGAATGTTTTGATTCAAATACTATTTGTTACAATTATAAATTGACGCCTTAAATAAATGCATATTTTAGTTAATAACTATAGCCTATGTGTGCTTTATCTGTCTATGTACTGTTGGCTTCCGTAGGCGTCTCTTACTGGGAAAAAGAAAGAGAGGATTCCATTTGGTTATTAACTAATATATGCATTTATTTAAGGAGCGACCCGCTCCAACACAATAGTTACAGAAAGACTACAAGAACACACTATTTATTTATTTGGATTTGGTCTTATTACCTTGTGTTTATACACTCAGTAAACATAGTGTAATCAATCACTGGGCCAGAGAATTCACCACAGTCTAGGAATGAAACCAACACATTTAGGGTGATGATATATAAAAAGTTCCTTTATTGTAGATGTGTGGTGATGGATGAGGTTTATCTGCGGCGGTTCTTGGAGCGGGAGCGAGACCGCGGGGATCTGGAGCGAGTCCGACTGCGAGAGCGGGAATAGGAGTCCCTGCCCCTCCCACCACCTCCTCCTCCTCCTCCCCTCCACCGTCTGCGGCCTGGGTTCACACAGAATGGTATTCAATCCGGTGCAGACAATAGGTGTCTACATGTGTAGAATGCATTAGAGTGAAAGAAGTTGCTAACTACCAACCATGATTATCATCATGACACTCTTCCCTGGTAGACACCATCAAAAGTCTCAAGCTTTACAAGCTTGATACCCTATTGTTGTTGTTGTCTTATGCCCTTGTGTAAATCAGACATCATATCGCCACGCTGTAAGATTCAAAGGAAAAACAGGGTAACGTGGTAAGATTCTTTAATAGAACACGACAAAAAGCTTTCAGGCAGCAACTGCCCTTCTTCAGGTCTTATACAAGTGTAGACAAAGAAGTGCCATATTTATAAGCGTTACCACGTTACCCTGTTTTTCCTTTGAACCTTGTGTAAATATTACACGAATTCCATGATCTCATGGAATGGGGTGTAGGGGGTGCAGCTTTCGTTGATCATGGACCATGATCCAGGCACACTTTGGTAAAAGTCTGACTTTGAGTGGAGATAAGAAAGAAGAAGAAGATTATCATGGCCTGTACTTGTGTGTAGGATATAAAGATATGTTCCACCCTACCTCCACCACCACCGGCGCCACCCCGTGAGTCCACCATGTTCAGGAGCCGGGGGTTGACCACTTGCTTAGCTTCCTCCAGGATTCCAATCAGCTCCCTGGCCTGTCTGCGGTTGTTCACTGTGAACAGGGTGTAGGCCGTGCCTGACTTGTTGCTGCGCGCTGTTCTCCCGATGCGGTGAACATAGTCCTCGCTGCAGCTGGGGTAGTCGTAGTTGATGACAAACTTGATGTCATCCACGTCTGCCCAGTGTCATATATTAATACATATATAGGTGGAAATAGAACAATCCATATATAAATCTTTAATTATAAAAAGGCATATATTGGATCAAAATATCATTTATTTTACCAATATTTCAGTTGGCTGAATGCCAACCTTTTTCAAGGTATTATAACATATTAATGTATTATGAAAAAGGAACTGCTTTTCACATGTGTAGTCATGTGGTGCACTTACAGTAAAAGCAGTCGCCTTCTTCTACCCACCATGATTATCATGGCCTGTACCACGTGTACTAGGGATAAGCAAAAAAAAAAAAAAGGCATCTCCTTATTGTGTAACTGAAATTTACTGATGGCTTTCGCCATCTATCGGAATAAATATCAACTATTCTCGTTGATTTCTAATTATTCCAGAATTGGCCAATTACCCATTCTTTATTAATCAAGAAAAGCTAACCTACTGGTAAGGAGATGCCTTTTTCATAATTTATGCACCTTATCCCAGTATAATATCACATTTGTACTATTTTTTTTCATATTAATGTACAGTAAAACCCCGCTAAGACGAACCATGGATATAACGAACCTTCCCTTATAACGAGCCCATCGAAAATCCCAATTCCATTCCATTAAAATTACCATCGTTATAACGAACTTTTCACTTTTCAAACTAGCGAACTATCGCTATAACGAACCCAATTTTGGTCCCAAAATATTAAATTCTATCAAAAATACCATGCTTATAACGAACTTCTAATTTTAATTCCAAAATTATAATTTTCAAAACTAATTAAAATTTTGTGTGAGCTCTAGCTCACAGATCGCAATTCAAAACAAAGAATTTAGCGACATTGGGTGTTTTTATTTACGTTCTATTTTTATACTGCGCCCTTTTATAAATTTTTCATGCCTTATTGAAAACTAAATTTCTTAACTCTACATTAGGAAAATTCCTTAAAACATTATTTAAATTATTAAAACCAGTTTTAAAAGATAATGGAAGTGCCAAAGAAAAAGTCGCTCGTACCAAGATATCACTTGAAAAGAAATTAACCATCATAAAAGCTATTGAGAGTGGTACATCGCAAGCGGAACTTCGGAAGAAAATGAAAATGAGCAAAAGTAGCATTTCTACGATATGGGGCAAAAAAGAAGACTATAAAAAAAAATGCTACAAAGAGGAATCAATCCCAACTATTGCCGCTATCGTCAGTGTCATTATCCACTTTTAGAAGCCTTGTATACGTGGTTAGTACAAGCTAGGCTTCATTTAAAAAAATGAAGATTTCTTTGCTAGATATGAAACCAAATTTTTGAGGAATATGTTAAAGCAGAAAAAAATAACAGACTTCTTCAAGTAAGCCTTTGTATCCTATATTGTAATATAATATTTATTTATATAAAATATATTGTTATACCTTTTAAAATATTATTAATAAAGTTTTTATTTAATTTTTATATATAAGGTATACTTTTCTTGGATTTTTTTTACATTTGGGGGGCAGGTTGCATTTATACTAATTAAATTATCAGAGGAACTGATCAAAAAGGCAATATTTTCACATGATTTTGTTTTTATTTTAATATACAGCTTTAATATATAGAAATAGGTTAATTTAGGGGGAAAAAAGCAGCCAATATTAAGAGGTAGCCTTTTTTTTTTTGCGCATGCCCTTTAATTATATCCTCAAAAAAAATTTAAATACCCAAACCGTGGCTATAGTGAACCAAAAGTCCCGTCTCAATGGGGTTCACTATAGAGGGGTTTTACTGTATGTCATTGGTGCACATTAATATGTTACCTTGATAAAGGTTGGCATTCAACCAACTGAAATATTGGTAAAATAAATGATATTTTGATCCAACATATGTCTTTTTAAAATTTGAAGCTATTATAGACGTGTATGATTCTTTTACTGCTCATACCGCTGTTATATTGCATTTTTGGAACTTCCTTTTATAGTGATACTGATGCTAGATTCCATGAGTCTAGGCATCAGTATCACTATAAAAGGAAGTTACAAAAATGCAATATAACAGAGGTATGGTAAATTAAACTGGCGAAACCGCTGGGAGGGTTCACCACTGATGAACCAGGCCCTCCCTTTATTTTTTCATTGCAGTAAGGTCAGTGGAAATTGTTTTATTTTAAAAAGAAACATACGCGTCTATAATAGTTTCAAATTTTGATAACAGATGGCGCGCTAATATGTCTTTTTAATTAAATAGAGGTAGATTGTGTGACCAATCAACTCTGAGGTAACCTCTCTCTCCACCATGTTGTTCTTTACTTTGTTTTGAAAGTGGGAAACAGTGAGTGAACTAGTGCTCTCTTCATCAATGTATTATAAAGGATGATAAGGTACAATTTATCTTAAAGATAGAGGCTGCCTGGCCGGCATTCATAGTTCTTCAAATAAAAGATACTTCGGCCAGTAAATCTTTTTATTGTCTCGATGTTTCGACAAAAATCTTTTGTCCTCGTCAGGAGCGAAAACAAAAATTATAACATTTAGCAAAGAATTAAAAATTATTATAAGAATAATGTTTTAATTTTTGTTCACTCCTGACGAAGACAAAATATTTTTGTCGAAATATCGAGACAATAAAAAAAAATCACTGGCCAAAGTATCTTTTATTTGTCATGGAATTCGTGTAATCTTTACACAAGAGGATAAGAAACAACAATCTTTGATTTGAAGAAGGTACAATTTGGATTATAGATTAGAATCAAAAGAAAAAAAAGACCAAATTATTGTAAATGTTTGTGACATTTCAGTAACAGCATTGTGTTAAGATAAGAATATTGTGATAAAGAAATTGTGATGAAGAAAATTGTGATAAGAAAGAAGAGTAACAGCATTGTTACCATCCTCAGACAAAGTACTAAATATCACATTATAAAAGA